ACGTAATAAAAATTTCTTACTGAGAAAATCTGTTTAACACTTTACAAGATTTAGTTAATGCTGAGGTGGCAAACGCAATATATTGCTCCCTACCGATCTTGGCATTTATTCAACATCGACTAGTCGAATTGTTCCCCAGCACGTCATTCAAATATACGAAAAGCTTCGTGCAGGACATAACGGATACAACTGAGCAAAGGGAAATTGTCATAGCAGAACACAACAGGGCTCACCGAGCAGCACAAGAAAATTGAAAACAAATCTTGAGGGACTATTTTTTCCCTAAAATGCTGCGGTTAGCAACAGAAACAACTTTGAATTGCAAGACCTGTTCAATGGCAAAATACAAACGCCATCCATCTTAGCAAGTGGTAGCAGAAACACCGATACCTTCTTTTGTGGGGGAAATTCTGCAAATCGACATTTTTTCAACAGATGGAACCCTTTTTCTAACATGCATCGATAAATTTTCAAAATTCGCCACGGTGCAGGCTATCGCATCGAGAGCCATAGTGGACGTAAAAACCCCTATACTGCACATAATAAATTTCTTCCCAAAAATCAAAACAATTTATTGTGATAACGAAAGGTCGTTCAACTCCGAAACAATTAAATCGATACTCATGAATCGTCCCTACATAGCACCTCAAACGGTCAAGTAGAAAGGTTTCATAGCACCCTGGCGAAATAGCCAGATGCTTGAAAAAAGAGGGCAACTTAAGCGATACGACCGAACTAATTCAACAATTCTATCCACTCGTTAACCAACAAAAAAACCCTTAGAGATTGTTCACTCAAAACCCGCGGATTTCCAAAGCAGAATTAGTAAGAGAATCCAACACGCTCAAGAAAAATCCCTTGACCAAGTTAACAAAGATAGGACCCAAAAGGGCTATCAAGCTGGTGAAAAAGTTTTCTTAAAGGCAATCAAAGCCATAGGATACAAGCTCTCGCCACTATGTTCGGAAAAAATCATTGAAGCAGACCTGGGGACCACGGTCCAAATTGAGGGGAGGGTGGTCCACAAGGACAATCTACGCTAACCATCTTCGCGAGATGGCTATCAAGACGGACGCGGCAGTAAAACTTAATGACTACACGAACGCAGACTACATCCCGATAGAAGACAATGAAATTGTCATCTGGGAGTCCTACGGATACCTACAGCACTCATCGAACGTGACGACTTATGAAGACTACGCCGACCAAACGGAAGCAATGACGAAAACATTTACAGACGATCACAGGACACCAGTCATAATGACGGATCTTACAAATATTCGCAAGTTGGTGACTACCTTAAAAATCCACCAAAGTGCCGCTAGGAGTATTAACATAATCGGGACAGCACTAAAAGTTATTGCCGGCACACCCGACTTTAACGATTGGGAGCAAATAAAATTCTATCAAGAACGATTAATGAGAACAAATGAAGGACAAACAGAATTAAATATCAAATTTCAGAAACGTCTAAATGAACTCACAAATCCATAAATTCGAAACAGATAAAGAAACCCACCTTTTGGAAATTATTCTAGCAAAAAATAGAATTGTAATCACGGATCTGGAATACATTTTAATGGGCTTAACCCTAGCAAAATTAAACATCGTAAGTCCAGCCATTTAAGATAGTTCCGATATTGGCGAATTCAAGGACAGGCAGCCTATTGACGTTAGTTTGATAGAAATATTAGAGGTATCTAGTATTATTGTTTTTCAAAATTCTGAAATTCTACATTTTCTCATTAAACTCCCTAGCCCTAAATTTATATGTAAGAAGATAACAGTCTATCCAGTTCAGTACCAGAAAAAAATCCTGGACTTTGAAGATGGGAACCTTGTTGCGGAATGCCCAGCACGAAACCTTAACATTGCAAAACGACGGTCGGCGCCACCTTCTGCAGGGAGCTACAAAATGGCACCTGCGCCCAGTAAATAGTTTCTGGGGCTATTGCGCACTGCTCCACGCTCCCAGGTCACCTGGATCCGGTTACCATTGTGGATCATGGCACCCTCATCGTGAACGATGCCAACGTGACCATAACCGACAACCAAGGGCGAGAGAAAAAAAAATATCCGGAACCTACCTGGTAATTTATTCCGACAAGGTAGCCCTTAACGGAACTTGGTTCATAAATCAATTGGGAAGTTCAATGAGAAAACCTGCTGTGTCGGCCATGGCCATAGTCAACATCACGGCCCACCAGAACCGGCTGAGTCTCCCATTTCTTCACGAGCTGAGTCTGAGCAATCACCACCACATCGGGACCCTCAGAGAAGAACTTACACTGGGGTCCTTCCTCAGCAAATCCTTTGCCCTACATGCTACCTTCTTTCTGAGTTCCACCATTTGGCTCGGCTATCGCTATCTAAGGACCAAAAGTCACACCAAACCAAGAACTGACAACGATGTGGAACGAGCGGGTCCCCGGCACCACTTGAAGGGGGGAGAAGTTAACACAGGCAGTTCCCAAGAGAAGAAACTGCCGAGTTGCAGACCATACCCGGTGGCCTGCACGCGCAGCGAAGAAACCGCTGACCGCGCGTTCCGGGTGCAAGTGCCCGGAGTCAGAACAGAGCACTCGCGGACCGAGTGATCGCCACGGGCAGGGACAAAACGCTGACCCGGCACCTTGGCGACAGCGCTGCAGCCAGGCAAAGGCCTCAAGCTGCAGTTGGATAGGTTCTTTAGTTTAGTCAAAAATTGTACTCGAGAGAATTAACTCTGTATACAATACCTATGCTCTTACGGGCCTATGGAAATAAATAAAAATATAAAATAAATACCTAGCGTTTTTATAATTTAAACTTGTTTCACAATAAATGCCTGATAAAAAGAATCCAAAGCAAAGCTAATGATTTAGATAACATCAAAAAAATATATATACGTATATATCAGAACAAAAACAGCAATTATTATTATCATTAAAAAAAATTTTTATCGTGCGATTTTTGATAAAAATAAATGACAAAATAAAATTAAATATTCACTTAATCTTAACAACGCCTAGAGAATGACCACCCTAAAAGCAATTGAAGAAGTTTATGTCAGGGATGCATATTTTGCAGAAAGAATTCAGCGATTAGTCTCAACGACTCCAATAAGCATATATGAATTAAAAATTAAATATTTGGAAACCTTCAATTTAAAATCCTCACCTCCTAATTGAATGGGAGGAACTAAGTAAAAAATTAAGAGAAGACAAAAATATTTTTGATAGGTCTTAAAATGTTTGAAGAAAAATAGGTTGATTCAGAAAAAAACCACAAAAAAAAATGCAGAAATATAAGTAACTTGCTTCAACAAAGCTTGTTCACTAATATATGACCAACGAGATAAGTTAAAAAAATTGCCAATTATCTACATTTTAGATCAAATAACGATCAAATTTGATAAGTATAAAAGAAAAATATAGTTAGGATATAACAGTTCCGACTATCCTAAACAACCCACTGACATTGGAATAAGAACCGAAATCAATAAAAGCCGAAGAAATTGACCTAGAGGAACAAGAAGTTTGATTCCGATAACGACGAAATAAAAGAAAAATATCTAAACGATCTAACAATTCCCGCCATCCTAATTCAATTTGAGCTCTCTTTGAGCTTACATCAAAGATAATACAAATGCAGACCTGAATTCGATGGAAGAAAAATAAATCTCCAGCGATTCATAGCTGAAATAAAATTTATCAACATGACATGGCCGGTAGCACCGGTCGTCGGCTCAGTTTCTACCTGGTTTAGGCGTACGACGGAAGCCGCCAACGCAGTCCTTGGGTCAAACGCCAGGTTCTAGTCAAACCCTCTCTCGAAGGACTCTATTTGTACAACTCTGTCGGACACGCCGGGTGGGATGCCAAGCTCAAATCGCGACAGAAGTTGTGAAAAAGCGCCTGGACTTAGCCGTGTGATGCCGTAAGGACCTCAGCATACTTGTGGCTCAATTCGGAGACTTTAGCTCTAAGTCCCGAACGTCTCGACGTAGCGATCTTGTTTCCTTAATGACTCCGCACGGCTTAACTTGGTTCTTCACGTTGTTACTGGTTCACTGGTTATATAGGCTTATATAGGCCTCCATTCACCGTTAGTTATCGGCGTCTCCTTGCCTCCTGGTCCAAAGTCCACGGCTTTACCGTTCGACTTTTCGCCCTCTGGGCACGGCACCAATGTCAGGGTCCGAAGTCCGGTGCCGTCCCGTTACTTCCTTCTGCACACGGCCCTTCGGTGCTATCTTCTATTGCTTCCCCTTTCGAACTCTACCTGTCCTTGTCTGGTGCTCAGGGCCCCACACTCTCTCGCCGCACTACCGTTACTACGGGCGAATTCGCCGCGTAACTGGAACAGGCCACTGCTTGCGTGCGCTCACTCTGCTTGCTTTTTAACTTTTGGGGAGTTATTTAACTCCTCACAAGTAATTAAATTTAAAATAATTGGGTCAACGCATTACAAGGTCCAAAATGAGCTTAAAATTTATGCAATAATCACTAAACTCCAAAGCACAAATATCTACCAAAGGGGGAAAACAGCCACTCAACTCACAAACGAACTCGATAACCTTCGCAAATTACTAGAAGCATTTTATGTCGACGAAGGACTAAATGCAGAACAGGCTGACAAATTCAGCATAAAAGGAGCAATATCTACTTTGATAAAGAGTTGCGGAGAAACCAAAACAATTTTGGAAGCTAGCTCATTCAATAACATGAATGACGCTATAACTAAATACATTCAATGCAGTATCCAACAAACAAATAAACATAGTGGAAATTTAATACTGTTTTGTATTAACAACGCGAAAACTTGTGACCGCAGTAGTTCGACGATGTTAACTTGCGAATTTGTGAAAACTATTTCGAAAGCGCGACGAAAAGGAGTGACTACGATGACGTTCGATTGATCACTGACTATTATATTTCAATAATTTCTTTTAGAACCTAACTTATGATACGGTGGCGAGAGACGGGGCGAATTCGCAAGAGCGAACGGACGAAAGCTTTAATGGCTCCCGCTCTCGCCCTACAATTAGTGATTTAAATACCAGCGCCAAGTGCGCAAACAGTATACAAACAACCAAGGTAGTTATTATAGAGGCAATGGTAGAGGAAAGTATAGAGGTAATTTCATACGCGGTAGAAATAACTTCTACCAGGGAAATTATTAAATATTACCAACATAATAATAATCGAGGAAACTATGGCCAAGGGCAATATCAAAACCAGAATTACTATGGAAATCAAAACCAACATAATAACAACGGAAACCAAAGAGGTTCTTCCCGAAATAACTCAAGTAATAAACTCGAATAGGTAAGAGCTATTGAAGCAGAACAGGAAAACTAAAAAATTCCCTTAAGAAGAAAAAGCGGCCACACAAAGCAACTATATATAAAATAAATCTCAGTCTCAACATTTATATACAAATAAATAACTATCACACTAAAAACACCCTTAACCCTTTTAATAGATACATGAGCTTATTAAAGACTTTTAAAAATAAATTCTGATAACGATAATGACATAGACACAATAAAAATAATAGGTTAGGTTAGATTAGAGCAGCTGTCAAATTATTGACACACTTGGACCTAGAAGGTCCGTTGCGATACCGCGTGGATCTGTGTCCCCTTTCCTGTATTATTGTCTGCTGCTCTTACCGCTGACCTAGCATAGCTCCCATCCGGTTGCTTTCATGAATTTTATTATTCGCTTTAGTTTTATACTCCCCAGTTCAGATAGACTGCTCATTAAGGGATTCCCTAAGTGTTTAGTCTAGATCTGCATAGGGCCGATCAGGAACAGAACAGGTGTTCCACCGATTCCTCCTCCTCCTCGTCCCTGCAGCTTCTGCAGAAATCGACCAACCAACGGCCTGAAAGCACTCGTATTAGCATTCCGCACTCGGTACGGTTTAGCTTTAGAAGTTCAGAAGTTTTCTGCGCATTAACAATTGGCCATGTCTGGCGAGAGATGCGACAATGTCTTACGTGTGTCCATGCTAGGTTCGCAAGTTCTTTATATTTGTTTTTAATGTTTAGCTTGCAGGTGGCCATCGACATACCAATGTTCTCCTTGTCCGGAAGGAGAGGAACGGTAGTGCCATGTCTGGCCAACTCATCTGGAATACAATTGCCTGCAATGTTTCGGTGACCCGGGACCCATATTAGGTATATTTTAAACTGCAAAGCCATCTCATGTAGTGATAGTTTGATATAGTTTGAGAGTTTGTATTGGTCGAGATAATCGACCTGATAGTCGCTTGACTATCACTGTAGATGTTTACCTATTTCTTTAGACAGTTTGCATCGTTTAGGAGCAACAAAGCTTCATTTATAGCATATACTTCCGCTTGGAAGACACTGCAGTCCAGAAGTCTGAAGGATTTCCTGATGTTAAGTTGGTCGGAGTATATTGCTCCTTCGACTCGATTATTTAATTTGGAGCCGTCAGTGTAGAAGTTGACTGCCTCTTTTAGGCCCGGTAGACCTTGCTCCCAGTCTTCTCTGGTTGGGAGTAATACTTCAAAGGGGGTGTGGCTGTATTCAATTGTTATCATATCAAAAAGATTTCGATGGCACCATTAATCTGAGAAAGCAACACATGCTCTCTAGGTATAAATGTATTTTAAATTAACTCTTACAGCATACTCGTACACTCATACACAACAAAACCATAAATAGTTTTGAAATTCCTAGTTGAATTAATACGTAACTAGTCCCAACTAAATTTTAACTAACTAACTAGATTTGAAATCTGGCACACATGAAGAAGTTTGTGTCAGGGATGCATATTTTGCAGAAAAATTTCAGCGATTAGTCTCAACGACTCCAATAAGAATATATGAATTAAAAATTAAATATTTGGAAACCTTCAATTTAAAATCCTCACCTCCTAATTGAATGGGAGGAACTAAGTAAAAAATTAAGAGAAGACAAAAATATTTTTGATAGGTCTTTAAATGTTTGAAGAAAAATAGGTTGATTCAGAAAAAAACCACAAACAAAAATGCAGAAATATAAGTAACTTGCTTCAACAAAGCTTGTTCACTAATATATGACCAACGAGATAAGTTAAAAAAATTGCCAATTATCTACATTTTAGATCAAATAACGATCAAATTTGATAAGTATAAAAGAAAAATATAGTTAGGATATAACAGTTCCGACTATCCTTAACAACCCACTGACATTGGAATAAGAACCGAAATCAATAAAAGCCGAAGAAATTGACCTAGAGGAACAAGAAGTTTGATTCCGATAACGACGAAATAAAAGAAAAATATCTAAACGATCTAACAATTCCCGCCATCCTAATTCAATTTGAGCTCTCTTTGAGCTTACATCAAAGATAATACAAATGCAGACCTGAATTCGATGGAAGAAAAATAAATCTCCAGCGATTCATAGCTGAAATAAAATTTATCAACATGACATGGCCGGTAGCACCGGTCGTCGGCTCAGTTTCTACCTGACGGTTTAGGCGTACGACGGAAGCCGCCAACGCAGTCCTTGGGTCAAACGCCAGGTTCTAGTCAAACCCTCTCTCGAAGGACTCTATTTGTACAACTCTGTCGGACACGCCGGGTGGGATGCCAAGCTCAAATCGCGACAGAAGTTGTGAAAAAGCGCCTGGACTTAGCCGTGTGATGCCGTAAGGACCTCAGCATACTTGTGGCTCAATTCGGAGACTTTAGCTCTAAGTCCCGAACGTCTCGACGTAGCGATCTTGTTTCCTTAATGACTTCTACATAATAATAATCGAGGAAACTATGGCCAAGGGCAATATCAAAACCAGAATTACTATGGAAATCAAAACCAACATAATAACAACGGAAACCAAAGAGGTTCTTTCCGAAATAACTCAAGTAATAAACTCGAATAGGTAAGAGCTATTGAAGCAGAACAGGAAAACTAAAAAATTCCCTTAAGAAGAAAAAGCGGCCACACAAAGCAACTATATATAAAATAAATCTCAGTCTCAACATTTATATACAAATAAATAACTATCACACTAAAAACACCCTTAACCCTTTTAATAGATACATGAGCTTATTAAAGACTTTTAAAAATAAATTCTGATAACGATAATGACATAGACACAATAAAAATAATAGGTTAGGTTAGATTAGAGCAGCTGTCAAATTATTGACACACTTGGACCTAGAAGGTCCGTTGCGATACCGCGTGGATCTGTGTCCCCTTTCCTGTATTATTGTCTGCTGCTCTTACCGCTGACCTAGCATAGCTCCCATCCGGTTGCTTTCATGAATTTTATTATTCGCTTTAGTTTTATACTCCCCAGTTCAGATAGACTGCTCATTAAGGGATTCCCTAAGTGTTTAGTCTAGATCTGCATAGGGCCGATCAGGAACAGAACAGGTGTTCCACCGATTCCTCCTCCTCCTCGTCCCTGCAGCTTCTGCAGAAATCGACCAACCAACGGCCTGAAAGCACTCGTATTAGCATTCCGCACTCGGTACGGTTTAGCTTTAGAAGTTCAGAAGTTTTCTGCGCATTAACAATTGGCCATGTCTGGCGAGAGATGCGACAATGTCTTACGTGTGTCCATGCTAGGTTCGCAAGTTCTTTATATTTGTTTTTAATGTTTAGCTTGCAGGTGGACATCGACATACCAATGTTCTCCTTGTCCGGAAGGAGAGGAACGGTAGTGCCATGTCTGGCCAACTCATCTGGAATACAATTGCCTGCAATGTTTCGGTGACCCGGGACCCATATTAGGTATATTTTAAACTGCAAAGCCATCTCATGTAGTGATAGTTTGATATAGTTTGAGAGTTTGTATTGGTCGAGATAATCGACCTGATAGTCGCTTGACTATCACTGTAGATGTTTACCTATTTCTTTAGACAGTTTGCATCGTTTAGGAGCAACAAAGCTTCATTTATAGCATATACTTCCGCTTGGAAGACACTGCAGTGATCCAGAAGTCTGAAGGATTTCCTGATGTTAAGTTGGTCGGAGTATATTGCTCCTTCGACTCGATTATTTAATTTGGAGCCGTCAGTGTAGAAGTTGACTGCCTCTTTTAGGCCCGGTAGACCTTGCTCCCAGTCTTCTCTGGTTGGGAGTAATACTTCAAAGGGGGTGTGGCTGTATTCAATTGTTATCATATCAAAAAGATTTCGATGGCACCATTAATCTGAGAAAGCAACACATGCTCTCTAGGTATAAATGTATTTTAAATTAACTCTTACAGCATACTCGTACACTCATACACAACAAAACCATAAATAGTTTTGAAATTCCTAGTTGAATTAATACGTAACTAGTCCCAACTAAATTTTAACTAACTAACTAACTAGATTTGAAATCTGGCACACATGAAGAAATTTGTGTCAGGGATGCATATTTTGCAGAAAGAATTCAGCGATTAGTCTCAACGACTCCAATAAGCATATATGAATTAAAAATTAAATATTTGGAAACCTTCAATTTAAAATCCTCACCTCCTAATTGAATGGGAGGAACTAAGTAAAAAATTAAGAGAAGACAAAAATATTTTTGATAGGTCTTTAAATGTTTGAAGAAAAATAGGTTGATTCAGAAAAAAACCACAAACAAAAATGCAGAAATATAAGTAACTTGCTTCAACAAAGCTTGTTCACTAATATATGACCAACGAGATAAGTTAAAAAAATTGCCAGTTATCTACATTTTAGATCAAATAACGATCAAATTTGATAAGTATAAAAGAAAAATATAGTTAGGATATAACAGTTCCGACTATCCTAAACAACCCACTGACATTGGAATAAGAACCGAAATCAATAAAAGCCGAAGAAATTGACCTAGAGGAACAAGAAGTTTGATTCCGATAACGACGAAATAAAAGAAAAATATCTAAACGATCTAACAATTCCCGCCATCCTAATTCAATTTGAGCTCTCTTTGAGCTTACATCAAAGATAATACAAATGCAGACCTGAATTCGATGGAAGAAAAATAAATCTCCAGCGATTCATAGCTGAAATAAAATTTATCAACATGACATGGCCGGTAGCACCGGTCGTCGGCTCAGTTTCTACCTGGTTTAGGCGTACGACGGAAGCCGCCAACGCAGTCCTTGGGTCAAACGCCAGGTTCTAGTCAAACCCTCTCTCGAAGGACTCTATTTGTACAACTCTGTCGGACACGCCGGGTGGGATGCCAAGCTCAAATCGCGACAGAAGTTGTGAAAAAGCGCCTGGACTTAGCCGTGTGATGCCGTAAGGACCTCAGCATACTTGTGGCTCAATTCGGAGACTTTAGCTCTAGGTCCCGAACGTCTCGACGTAGCGATCTTGTTTCCTTAATGACTTCTACATAATAATAATCGAGGAAACTATGGCCAAGGGCAATATCAAAACCAGAATTACTATGGAAATCAAAACCAACATAATAACAACGGAAACCAAAGAGGTTCTTTCCGAAATACCTCAAGTAATAAACTCGAATAGGTAAGAGCTATTGAAGCAGAACAGGAAAACTAAAAAATTCCCTTAAGAAGAAAAAGCGGCCACACAAAGCAACTATATATAAAATAAATCTCAGTCTCAACATTTATATACAAATAAATAACTATCACACTAAAAACACCCTTAACCCTTTTAATAGATACATGAGCTTATTAAAGACTTTTAAAAATAAATTCTGATAACGATAATGACATAGACACAATAAAAATAATAGGTTAGGTTAGATTAGAGCAGCTGTCAAATTATTGACACACTTGGACCTAGAAGGTCCGTTGCGATACCGCGTGGATCTGTGTCCCCTTTCCTGTATTATTGTCTGCTGCTCTTACCGCTGACCTAGCATAGCTCCCATCCGGTTGCTTTCATGAGTTTTATTATTCGCTTTAGTTTTATACTCCCCAGTTCAGATAGACTGCTCATTAAGGGATTCCCTAAGTGTTTAGTCTAGATCTGCATAGGGCCGATCAGGAACAGAACAGGTGTTCCACCGATTCCTCCTCCTCCTCGTCCCTGCAGCTTCTGCAGAAATCGACCAACCAACGGCCTGAAAGCACTCGTATTAGCATTCCGCACTCGGTACGGTTTAGCTTTAGAAGTTCAGAAGTTTTCTGCGCATTAACAATTGGCCATGTCTGGCGAGAGATGCGACAATGTCTTACGTGTGTCCATGCTAGGTTCGCAAGTTCTTTATATTTGTTTTTAATGTTTAGCTTGCAGGTGGCCATCGACATACCAATGTTCTCCTTGTCCGGAAGGAGAGGAACGGTAGTGCCATGTCTGGCCAACTCATCTGGAATACAATTGCCTGCAATGTTTCGGTGACCCGGGACCCATATTAGGTATATTTTAAACTGCAAAGCCATCTCATGTAGTGATAGTTTGATATAGTTTGAGAGTTTGTATTGGTCGAGATAATCGACCTGATAGTCGCTTGACTATCACTGTAGATGTTTACCTATTTCTTTAGACAGTTTGCATCGTTTAGGAGCAACAAAGCTTCATTTATAGCATATACTTCCGCTTGGAAGACACTGCAGTGATCCAGAAGTCTGAAGGATTTCCTGATGTTAAGTTGGTCGGAGTATATTGCTCCTTCGACTCGATTATTTAATTTGGAGCCGTCAGTGTAGAAGTTGACTGCCTCTTTTAGGCCCGGTAGACCTTGCTCCCAGTCTTCTCTGGTTGGGAGTAATACTTCAAAGGGGGTGTGGCTGTATTCAATTGTTATCATATCAAAAAGATTTCGATGGCACCATTAATCTGAGAAAGCAACACATGCTCTCTAGGTATAAATGTATTTTAAATTAACTCTTACAGCATACTCGTACACTCATACACAACAAAACCATAAATAGCTTTGAAATTCCTAGTTTAATTAAAGTTGTTTATAAAGATTGCCTTGTTTACTTGAGATTTCGCTAGATAATCAATTTGATGTGCACTTTAAATAATTAAAAATTGTTTGTAACAACTTGATAATCAATTGATGTGCACTTTAAGTAATTAAAAATTGTTTGTAACAACTTGATTACATTTATAAAAGACATTTATGCTTGTGTAATAATTTTTAAGTAAAAAAAACACTAACAAATCATTTGCATTACATACATTTATTTTTTTATAATAATTTTTGTAAAAGTACCCCACATCTAAATTATAATCAGAATATATACAATTGTACAGTTGCCAGCAAAAACAAAACCTCACCCGATTATTTAATATTTTGTAATAAATTATTCCTCACTTATAACTGAACTTTAATTTTGTTGGACTGCTGCCAAATATGAAGGTTTAGTCAGAAGAGTAAACTTAATGTAAAAAGGTTCAAAGTGTTAAGGAATACCTTACAGATTTGTGTCGTATTGTATACAAAAAACCGGGTGGCCCACGAAAAAGTTGCGTTTTAAAATTGCTTTAAAGAAAACGGGTGGATATTTATCAAATTTTCTTTTGTACAAACTTGCGACTTTTTGTAGAAGGTTTATTTCAATTCTCGCAATTGGCCAAAGAGCGTTTGGTGGAAGATAAACATTTTTATCAAAAATCATATTTTTAGATGAAGCTCGTTTCCACTTCGGTCGTTACCTCAATATGCAGTTGGGTCTCCAAAAACCCGCACGTCGTCTTGGAGAAGCCAATGCATCCACAACGAGTGACTGCTTGGTGCGGTATTCATTTTTCGACAACGAATCAGAAGCCGCGTCATTGATGAAGCTATCGCGGCATGTTGGAAGACTTTTTTTAACCCCCGAATAGAGGATGAAAGCATCGATAGCAGATGGGTCCTGCAGCATTCTATAGTAAAGTTTATGCATTCTTGATCAGCATCACTAGGAGAGTTGAAACTACGCATGAAACTTCACAAAAGTTGTCTTCCTTTTGCAGGTAGTATATAAGTCGGATCGACGACTATATCATATAAAACAAGAAAGAAAGCAAACTTCGGCCATCTTAAGTTTATATACCCTTGGAGCAATTGCAAAAATTAAATATTCTTCAAAATATCTACATTTCGAGTTATATGCGTATAAGTATAAAAACATTGAAACTATGGTGATTTCCACCTCAACTTTGGCAAGCCAAACTTTATATACCCTTGCAGGTATTGCAAAAATTAAATATTCTTGAAAACATTTAAATTATGATTTACTTGCGTATATGTTTAAAAACATTGAAGCTATGATGATTTGCAGCTCAATTATTCGATAGTTCTTATGACAGCTATATGATACCGTTTTCCGATTTTAATAAAATTAAAATTGTAGTTCTGAACTGTCAAATTAATAATAAATCAAAAAGAATTTTTTAAAAAAATTACAAAATAGAAATAAATTTTTTTCAGTTTTAAAGTTATCTGCATGAAACTATTTTAATATGTTTATTGTTTCCATGGAAGCTTTAAGTTATAGTCGTCCGATTTTGATGAAATTTAAACCGTAATTCTGAAATAGTTAGCTATTACTATATGACGAATTACAAATAAAAAAATTTAAAACAGCAAAGTCAAAATTTCATTGCTTAAACAATAAAAAATCACCAGGCCCGGATATGATAGACGGCATCACTCTTAAAGCTCTACCTTTAAAATACATATGGTTTCTCACGCTAGTATTTAACGCTATTCTCAGGCTAGACCACTTCCCAAGTCAATGATCCTCAAGCCAAACTAGACAGCAACTGAATTATCATCTTACCGTCCCATTAGTCTGTTGACAATATTCTCGAAAGTATTTGAAAAAATACTACTGAAGAGGATGTTGCCAATTTTGGACGAACTTGCCATCATTCCTGAATATCAATTCGGATTCAGAAAAAACCACGGGACCACTGAGATATTTCATAGGGCTATCAATGAAATTGTATCTTCACTTGAGAATAAAAAATATTGTGCTGCAACATTTCTTGACGTTCAGCAAGCTTTTGATCGTGTTTGGCACAATGGATTACTCTACAAGATAAAGAAATGGCTGCCTGCTCCATTCTATTTATTAATGAGATCCTACTTGTCTAAGAGATGCTTCTACGTGCAGAAGAGAATTTATACGTCAACACTACTTCGCATAAACGCAGGCGGTCCTCACGGGAGTGTATTGGGACCAGTCCTTTACACACTATACACGGCAGATATGCCAGTAACAAACAACTGCACCATTGCAACATATGCTGACGATACAGCCATTCTGGCAATAAGCTCATCTAGAGACGAAGCATCTAATCTCTTGCAATGTGAGCTCAGTCTGATTGAGGCCTGGTTCCTTCGCTGGAAAATTAAAATCAACTCCCTGAAGTCTGTCCAAATAACTTTTGCACTAAGACCAGGAAACTGTCCAAATGTCACACTTAACAGCTCAGAAATTCCACAGGACACCTGTGTGAAGAATCTTGGCATGCACCTCGACCGCAGAATAACATGGAAACACCACATAAAAGCGAAAAGACAACAACTCAGACTGATAACACTGAAAATGTCCTTACTAGGTAGAAAATCAGCAGCCACTTTGAAAAAACAAAATTCTTCTCTACAAAGCCATTTTGAAGCCTGTTTGGACCTACGCTATCCAACTCTGGGGAACAGCTAGCAATTCAAATATTGAAATACTTCAGCGCTACCAATAAAAAATCTTGCGACAAATTGTTAACGTTCCATATTATATAACCAATGCAAATATTCATAAAGATCTAAATATTCCAACTGTAAAAGAGGAGATAAAAAAATGTAGTAAAAAATATACAGACAGACTTCACAATCATGTAAATACTTTAGCCCTAGGTCTTGTAGACAATAGCTTAACATTCAGAAGACTCAAAAAATTCCACATTCTTAATCTCCCTGATAGGTAAATTTAAGTAAACGAGAAATTAAATTAATAGCAGGTTTCACTGGAAATCTGCTATTCCTGTTACGTAAATATTAGTGGTACAATATTGTCAGATTGTAAATAAAAATTAAATTTAAAAAAAAAAATCTAGTACTAACCCCAAGTATCTAGCGTTATCATTGAAAGAGAGAGAGCAGTTATTTAATTTTGGTGGGTTTAGTTGAGGAACCTTGTATCTGTTTGTGAACAACACCAGCTCCGTTTTTGAGGGGTTTAACCCTAGACCTCTTTCTGTTGTCCAGTCAGATAGTATTTTAAGTTTGGCGGTCATTAAAATTTCCATGAGAAAATAAAGGCTCCCCCCCCTTCCATGTTACACAGCAGCTTATTCACTGCGATGTTCCATAGTAGAGGGGAGAGTACACCACCCTGAGGGGTTCCTTTGTTCAGGGTGTCTTTGAGGTTCCAAGGGTGGAGGTTACCATTCTGCTCATCAGCAATTTATGGATTAGCTCCACGACTTGAAACTCAACACCCAGGTCAGTGAGGGGTTCGGTTATGGCTGCAGGGAGAACATTGTTGAAAGCGCCCTCTATGTTAAAAAATGCAACAAGTGCGTATTCCCTGTGGTTAAGTGACTTTTTGATTTGGCTGACTACAGCGTGCAGAGCTGATTCGGTGGACTTGCCCTTTGAGTAAGCATGTTGTTTTGATAATTGATATTGATTTGAGTCCATGACTGACCTGATGTGCAGTCCAATCAGTCGTTCAAAACTCTTAAGTAGAAAGGATGTCAGACTTTAGGCCTGAAATCTTTCGTCGTCGTTAGCGAGGCCTTGCCCGTTTTGGGTATAAAGACTACCTGTGTTTCCCTCCATGTTGATGGCAATGTTCCTATCTTAAGTATGATGCGAAAAATTTTCTTTAGCCAGTTGACGGCAATTTGACCAGCATTTTGGATGTGCGCAGGGGATAGATGATCACGTGCTGCTGATTTGAAGGGTTTGAAACTGTTTATGGCCCATTCTATGTTACGCTCAGACAGAAGCGTTTCCAGGTCGATGCTTGAACCAGTTCGATTTTTTTGGAAGTCGTTCTACCGGGAGACTACCCGGAAAGTGGGAGTCTAGAAGTAGGCTTAGGGTCTCCTCATGACCGTGAGCCATCTAGTTTTTTAAGGTATCCCAAGGAAGGGGTTGTTTTGGAGAGGATCTTCCTAAGCCGAGTTGCATCGGTTGTTTCCTCTATGTTTGAGTAGAAGGTCTGCCAAGCTGATCGTTTTCCTTTTCCCATGGACTCTTGTAAGAGGCTAGTTCCAAATTATATTGTTGCCATTTTAGATCTTCATTTCCCGCTTTCGCCCTGTTAAAAAGAGTTCTGCAGCTGGATCTGAGTTCTGAAAGTTTCTCGGTCCACCAAAGTGGCTATTTGGATCCTCTCGGCTTGCATTTAGGTTAGTTTGATTCGAAGGCTTCTGTGTGTCATTTGGGGGCTCTATTGGAAGAATCAAGGCTTCTCTCTAAGCGCGCCAGTTTATTCGTCTAAGGTTGACGAATTCCGCTGGAGTGGGAGGGTCTAATGATAATTTAGTTTCTATGAATCTGTGGTCTTAAAAAGAGTGCTCGCTTGAGACTTCCCAATTTCTGACTTTTTCAAGCAAGGTGAGATCAATGACCGTTTGGCTATTTTTTGTGATGAAGGTGGAGGTGTTACCCCTGTTGCATAGGAATAGTCAAGGATGAAATTAAAAAGAAATTCACCCCTGTTATTGCTTGATGGGCTTCCCCACTGAGTGTGGTGAGCATTAGCGTCGCAGCCGATTACCAGGCCGATGCTGATCGCCTCGCTCTCTTCGACCAGTTGTCGGACTAGCTCGTCTGGGGGTCCTCCTTTTCGAAGGCCATGTACGTTGAAGTCACCCTTATGGTAGCCGCTGGAAGTTCCAGGCTTGCTACGGTGTTGTCTCCGTTGCTGTAATTATGAAACAGAAATACGCTAAGGAGCCTTTTGGCTAAAATGCAGGTTCGAATTTTACCTCCTTTAGGGTCAAGTAGCATCTTGAATTCCTTGGTGCCTAGTCCAGAGACCTGCCTCCAACGACCCAAGGTTCCTGTACCAGCACTAGGTCTGCCCCGCTGTCAGCCAGGCTGTGGTGGAGGTTGACCTGCAGTAGTCTTAATGACATCTGCAAAGTTTCCCTCCACCACCGTGATGTCGGCTTTCTCCAACAGCCGGCTTCATCGCATGCATCACTCTGCTCAACGATGCGTCGGTGGAATAGCCGTCCTCCGGCTTTTCGTCCCCGGGAGCCTCAAGTTCTTCCGGAAAGACCTGCTCGACTGGGTTGCCGACCGGGTCCTCCTTCGCGCTCGAGTCTCCCTTTTAGACCTTCACTCTGATCGCGCTAAAACCGAAATTCAGTTCCGCGTGAACAGCCTCTATTGGGGAAACTGATTCCTTGTTCAGCACGACGATGGCCTGACTCACCGGCCCCTCATACTGCTCCACCTTTACGACCTTCCAGTCGTGCGTCTTAGCCGCATCTTCCGCAGTTTTTGGCGCCGACGAGGTGCTGGCGGCCGACTGTCTTCCACCTTTCACCCCCAATTTGGGATGGGGCCCTGTGCTGATGCCAGCGAGTTGCGGAGAAAGGGAAGGTCCACTTGGGCAGAGATCCGCGATGCCCGGGTAAGGCGATAGTTAGGACAGGGGATCGCCATCTTCCTGAACCCACCGTTTGAGACTGAGCTAGTTGTGAACCCGGGCCCTCAGCCAGGCTGACTCTCGGCACGGTCCGATTTACACCTTAGTCTGGCCCGGGGCTGGTTAGGACCTCCCCTTTGGCTCCGACAAGCCCGGATAGGGTGCCCCTGTGTCATATTAGTCGCATCCTACGACAAACAATGGAAAGGTTTAACATTTATAGAAATACAAACAGAACAATTTATAATCCCTTTCAAATTCCAAATAGTTAATGACGACTTTCCAATACTGGGATGGTCTAATAGACATGGACTTCCTAAAAACATTTAATGGCCAACTTGATTTCCAAACAGATCATAACTGGTTAATGGTAGACCCGACAACTTCACAAAGAAAAATTTATTAAAAACCAATATATAGCCGATGGTGTAATAATAACAAGCACCATAGCTATTTCAAATAATACATTTGTCCGCATTTTATATACGACGAATCCTATAGTTCTATCTATTAATAAAGAGTTTTTCTGAAATGTTTAAAAGTACCCTTACTAAATTATGCACCGAATTTACTGATATATTAAGAAAAAGAACCTATATCCTCACATAATTTTTATGAACAAAAATTAAGATTGAAGGATGACGTTCCAGTTTGTATTAAAAATTATAGAACACCCCATAATCATAAAGCAGAAATAGATAAACAAGTTGAAGAACTAATTAAAGATGGCATAGTAGAACCCTTTGTATCAGAATACAATAGCCCATTACTTCTTGTACCCAAAAAATCACTTCCTGGAACAGAAGAAAAACATTGGAGATTAGTTATAGACTACCGACAAATTAACAAAAAGTTATTAGCAGATAAATTCCCATTACCCCGAATTGCTGATATTCTCAACCAACTTGGCAGAGCAAAATTGTTTTCATGTCTGGATTTAATGTCCGGATTTCATCAAATTAATTTAGAAAAAGACTCCCGGGGACATAACATAATTTTCACTGGTTCATACCGTTTCAAACGATTACCCTATGGTATAAAAATAGCCCCTAATTCATTTAAAAGGATGATGACACTAGCCTTTTCGGGATTAGAACCATCACAAGCTGTCCTTTACAGGGATGACCTGGTAGTAAATAGGTTGTTCTGAAAATCATATGATCAAAAATTTAACTAACGTATTTAACCTATGCCGAAAACACAATCTCAAACTACACCCGGAAAAATTTTCATTTTTTATGCACGAAGTATCATTCTTTGG